TTCCTCTGTTAACTCACGATAGAAATTGGTTTCCTTTCCTGAAATCTGCGATGCTTGGCTCTCCAAGACGTGCAAGACACTACTTAGATATTTTCACTTTTCTGCTCCCTTTTCAAGCTTTATAGGAGTGACTTTCCTTTGCCAGCAAAAATTTGGTTGTTTAGTCATAGCTGACTAAAACTCCAAACTGGCATAAGGTAGGACTGCTGATATAATTGCTGGGTGTCTTTCCACAGCCAGTCATCAGCAACAGTATTTCTGATTTATCCAATAGTCCCCTGAGATCACCAGTTACGAGCTGGTGTTTTGGGAGGTGCTGACTTGAATTCCTCCCAGATTAAGACTCCTTGCTGCTTCGTTGCTGCCCCGTAAAAAAACCAAGGTGGCACGGGCACAGCAGCAGTCGCAGCAGAGGTGTGAGCTGAGGCTCCCTCCTGCCTTGGGCGGGCAGTGCCCCAGCACGAACACAGTGAAGTGCTGTGGCATGAAGACATTTGTGCTGCGAGTCAGCTGTGGCTTGGTTTGTGAACTCATTTTCTGGCTGACTTTTCGATGGTGTGGTGTGTGGTGATGTCTGTTCGTCTGCCCTCCTGAATTCTGCCCTCCCTCCTCTCTAAGCTGCTCTGGCTAAGGAGACCATGGCCTTCTTCTGGAAGAGAGGGTGCTCTCCCCACAGGGAGCCTCGCCCCACACCCCTGCTCTGCAGGAAAGGTTTAAAGTGGACCTGGGCAGCAGATGTTTTTGGGGAAATAAGTGGCATTTTCAATTTTCCTTTCCTTTCTCTTTAGTTCAAATGAAAGTCAAAGGTGGCCATGGAGGAAAGATGTGTAAAGGGGAAAAAGGACGTTGAAACTCCAAGATTATGCTTTCTAGGGTGCCATAGTAGGTGCTGCTTCTCTGGCTTCTAGTTAGAATGTCCTTTTTTAACCAGCTGACTGTTCTGTGCATGACACCTGCATGTCACAAAAAGCGGCAGGTGGAAGAAGTGGCAATATGCCCAGGATGTAGCAGGTGCCCTGAGAATGTACCCAGATCACATGCAGCTATCGTGGTCACTTCTTTATCTGGAGTGTGGAATAAGAATGCCCTATTTAGCCAGGGATTTTTTCCATAAGAAATAGCTGTATAGGGTGGTATTGTTTTTCCTTCTCAGGAATCATTGCCTAAAACGAGAAGCTGTTTGTTTAGATGATCCATATTTTACCTGCTGCAGTACAAAGGGCAGTGCTGGCTGAACTGACCTTTGCTGGCATTCTTTTCTCTTTTGCAGGCAGGTAGGATTTGTGCTAAGGTGACCTTTGCTAAAGGGACAGTAAGGCTAAGATTATACATTTCCAGAATAACTCGGCATTAAGTAGCTCAAAATAAGGGGTGAGAGTTTTCAGCCACTCCTCTTCCTCTACCCACACAGTGTGCTGGTGTGTTTTTCCAAAGAACTCAGCAAACTGAACAGACTTTGGGAGTAGAGATTTTTTAAAACTCCTTAAGGTTTCTTTGTGCTTGAGAATCTTGCCCTAAGCTCGTTCTAAAATCTGCCTGTAGGAACTGTGCTGAGCTTGGCTGGAGAAACTCTTTTCCTGGCCAGGGCAGTAGCGTTTATGATCTAGAATTGTCTAAAGGGCTCTGCGTGTGGCCTTCTCAGGATTACCTAGACATTTCTTCTGGTGTCACGTAGAAATGTGATTCCCCTCACCCTCCAAATGCATTGTATTTGGACACTCCATTCCATTTCCAGCGTGTTTGTGTTGTGTGTTGGGAACTGGCAGTTATTTATTTTTATTTTCAACACAGGAGTTGGGTAACTGCTCACTGTTGAATGCTGGGTTAGGAACAATGGTGGCCAGCCTATGTTATTTCTCTGCCAACTGCAATTTTTAAATGGAGAAGGGAACTGACACACCTCAAATGTGAGAATTCATCACCCAGAACAAATGTGTGGCTCAACATGTGTTTTATTTTTCTCTCACGTGTAGTGAGGTTTCAGAAAAGTATTTTTCAGTTGTGCATTTTTTCTCTCTGTTCTGTTGCTCTCACTGAGTGTCACCCACTGTTTTTCTGCATTATTCTAGAGAGAGGAGAGTGTCAACATTTTGAGGGGGGGACGCTTGAAGGGCAAAATGAGGCAGGCTATTTTATGGCATGGGTTTACAGGACTATATTATGACTTTTGTGGCTGCTGTGGCTGTGGCTCTTGTATGAATTCTCTTGAGATACAGTTGCAGAAGAGGGGCTGTGTGTGAGGGAGGTGGACCTACGCGATGCACTTTGAAAATGTCGTCGGTAAAGTTACGTAAATTTCTTCTCAAGATCGAAAAAGACACTAGGGTGGAGTTTCATTTTCTCTTCTGCTTCCAGAAACCCAAGATTTCTGGCAGTTTTCTTGAAGGATTGTGCTGATACGACTTTGATGGCCAATGTGTGGTCACTGAGCCAGGTAGTCAAACTGGCTCCTCTCCCTTCTGTGAAAGCAGAACTTCCCTAGAAGGGGAAATGGGGTCCTGTGCTGTGCAGGGGGAGGGTTTGGTGGGGGGGATGTGCTGAGGGGATACGAGAACCGGGAGTGCTAAGGTGTATTGTGCTTGTCTGAAGAGGAAGTTAACAGGCGAGTGAGCAGTGTTTGTAGCCACAATACAGAAAGCTGGTTTTGAAAGCGTCTTTGTGGTGGCTGCTGTACCTGGAAGGAGGTGTGTAGTGGTCATGGCCACACACACACAAATACAGGTGCCATTTAGAGGGTTAGGGAGGAATGGAGAGCTTCTGGCCACCTTGTGGTGCTGGGGCTGTCTCCTGCCCGGCAGGTATTGTCGTGTTATGGACCACTCTTTGCACATTTGACCCAGCCCATGTGTTCTTGTTCCTCTCCATGTTCTGCACCCACCTCTGCTGGGTGTCTGGAGCTGGAGGGTTGCTGGAGCTGGGCTCCCCAGCTGCACCAGGAGTTATATCCCTCAGCAGCTCCTCTGATGAAGCGAGGGTAATAAGGAAGGTTGGTAACCCAGCCCACAGCACAGATCCCTCCCTCGTGTCCATGGTGGCCTTGGATGCTGCAGGGAACCAGAGGGTTAGCAGTATGTCTCTGCCCTGAGCACAGAGGGTTATGTGCTACAGGAAGCTCCACCACAGCCTCCTAACAAACATCAAGGAGACCTCTTGACCTCAGCTTCCATCCTCTGTACCCGTTTCTTCCCAAAGGAACAGGCAGTTGGGAAGGCTGCTTCACCTTGGAGATCTTACTGGTTTGAGGCTCAGCATGCTAAGGTGGGACAGGGGGAAAGCTGCACGTTCTCTGGGGATAGCTCTGTAGTGGTGGGGGTGGGCTGAGAACCAGGTCTAGCAGAGTTTCCATCCATACCTGGCAGATGGGATCGGGGCACACACACTTTCTAGTCTGTGCATTGCTTCCCTGGTAAGGAAATACTTTATTCCCTACAAACTAGAGGCCAAGTGCCAACTGATGTGACAGCAGTATGGACGAGGGACCGATGCAGAAGGCATACCAGTATGGTAGCTCAGGTGCACATTGGGTTGTTAAGGAGCTGAAACAGATGCTTTCAAGCAAATTCTTATGATCAGTCAAAGTCTATTAACGAGAGAAGAAAAACTGAAATAGTTAAACTCTGCTGTTGGGGTTTTCCCCTTCTTGATGTGTGTGGGTTTTTTGCACTTGTCCCTTACAGAGAAAACAGACGGAGCAGTTTCATTTTCCATCTCCCAGAAGAGCAGTGTGATGTAACGCCCCGACTGATAACCACAGCCGTGACACGCTGCCAGTCGCTCTTCTCGCTTTGCTGTAAATGTGAGACTGTCACTTGGGGAATGCTGTGAAAGCAGAAACTCCTTCCTCCCCCTTCGCCCCCCCCTTCCCTCTTCCCCCTCCTTCTTACCCCCTTCCCCCTCTACTCTTTCTTTCCTCCCCCCTGCC